TTCTTGGTCCTTCAGTTTCTCTTAAGACCTAAGTTTCAGTGAGTAGCCGTATTAGTCTGCAGTCAGACAATTAGGCTTGAGCATAGCGGTACCTTAGAAGCCAACGAAGAGTTTCAGGGTGTAAGCTTTCTTGACTCTCAAAAACGTATATGCTTGAAACTCTTGCTGGTCTTTCAAGGTGCTACTGGGCTCAAATCTAACTGTAAGGCTTAAGGCCTTTGTAACTCTTGATAAATAATCCCTCCCATCAGAACTGTTTGTAACCTGGTACACACTTAAGTGGGTGTGTGTGCAGTGTGTGTACAGTATGCACATGCTTTTCGTTTGTGTGTCTGAGCAATTCTCGTATTACATTCAGTTAAAATATGGCTGAATGCATGGTTTAAACCCCATGTTTATCTGGAAACTGGTCTCTGGATTTATTTTTTAAGTGAGTATGAATTGGCACGTCTTATAAACAGGTGTATGCCTGTTTGTGCGGTGTGTACATGAGTTGGTTGTGCGTACAGGGTTTATGTATAATTTATAAGCATGTACTTTGGGATATGGGTGAGAGCACTGATTTGTGGGAATGTCTGAATGCATGTGTTATTCTGTACGGCTTTAATCTGAAGAAGTGGACAGTGACTCTTGAAAGCTCATACCCTACCACGAATCTTGTAAGTCTTCAAGATTCTGCTAGACTCTTACTCTTTTCTACTGCTACAGACAGACTAACATGGCTACCATCTTGATCTATCTGCATGTCCTGAAAAATATAGCCGACTGCTCATTTTTATGCCCATTAAAAGTGCCCATGTTGTGCTTCCGAAAGAGACATGCTTGAAATAGAGTATAAAAGAGCTGTAAATATCGGTATAAATAAAAGGTTGCATGCACATCAAATGGCTTGATAAATATACGCACAGAGTCAGCCCTTGTACAGGGAACACACAAGTCCTGTACATGTGTTACGATTAATCCCTTTTGAATAAACTGCCAGTGCATATTTGCTTTGAAAATAAAACCAGGGACTGGTACTTGGTTAAATGTGAAGGTTAAGTGCTGCATTCAGCTTTGTACTCAAGTTGCATGTACAAAGGGCAACTGGATTGTATGTGTACGTTCCTTGTAAGGCAGTGGTAAATTGAGCAGAGATACTGAACATTTGATCAAACCAGGCAGTTTACAGGTGAAAGTTTATTTCTTACACTTTCATGAATGCATAATGTGGAATAAATATTTATTTTTTAAAATTAATCTGTTTCCCTAATAACATTTCATTTCACTTGCAGAGCCAGTGCATTGCAGTGATCAGAATGTTGGAATACGATCTGGGAGGCCAAGGCTCAAGCCCCCCCCCCCCCCCCCCAAAAAAAACACTATACCAACAACATCACACCAGCCTCTCACAGGGTTGTTGCCAATGTTCCCTCTAAGCTGTGGAGTCTCGTGAGCAAAAATTCTACTTTGTGAGCTACTGGCATTAAGGTTGGGAGCAAGCCATTTGGCTCCTGCATTAATTAGTTTGCTCTGGAGCCATCCTTCCTGAGCTAAGACAAAAATGTGTGAGCTGTAGGATAAAAAACTGTGAGCTAGCTCACTCTAACTCAGCTTAGAGGGAACACTGGTTGTTGCAAGGATAAAGTAGGGAAGGGAGAGCCATATGAACTGCCCTTAGCTTCGTGAAGGAAGGACCAGATAAAGTTGTACTGGACAGGGATTATAAGGAATGGACTTGGCTGTGCGGCTCATTTGCTTTCCTGTTTATTTTTATTTTATTTCCAGCTGGCTTTAGCGGTGGATTTGGTGGCTCTTCAATGGGTGGTGGATATACAGATTCGCCAGGAGGATTTGGATCTCCTTCGGCAACTCAGGGGGAAAAGAAATCGGTATGCAGAATTTAACCTTTGCCCCCAATGAGCTGTGACTCTCCTAGTGCATTCCTAAACAGAGTTACGCCCTTCTAAAACCATTGAAGTCAATTGTGGATGGGATAGAAAAGGTTGAGAAAAAAGTGCTTTTCTCCCTTTCTCACAATACAGGAACTCGTGGGCACTCAATGAAATTAATAAACAGTAAGTAAAAGGAAGTACTTCTTCACCCAAAGAGTAGTTCACCCAAAGGAATTCACTGCCCCAGGAAGCAGTGGCAGACACAAGCATACACAGCTTCCAAGAGGGGACTGGATAAACACATGGAGCAGAGGTCTATCAGTGGCTATGAGCCACAAGGCGTAGATGGAATACTCTGTCTGGGGCAGTGATGCTCTGTATCCTTGGTGCTTGGGGGGCCACAGTGGGAGGGTTTCTGGAGTTCTGACACTGCTGGTGGCCCTTCTGATGACACCTGGGTTTTGACCACTGTGTGACACAGAGTGTTGGACTGGATGGGCCATTGGCCTGATCCAACATGGCTTCTCTTATGTTCTTATGTTCTCTTTAAAAGATGTAACTCTGTTTAGTGTTGCACTGTTCTTTTCTCCTTCTTGAGGAGATCTTTCTTAGAGCAGAAGCCCAAAGAGTAAAGTTTCTGAACAATCTAATATTTTATTAATTTATATTATTTATAAGTATGTACTCAATGCAGATTATGTAGTGCGAATTAAATGGTGTTTCTCCTGTTATTGATTTAAGTAAACTCTCCCCCCTCAAGCAATCTTACTCCTTGTTTCTTTGTTTTTTGAAACAGAAGTAAGATTTTGATCCTTGAACCAGAAATGAAAGAGGAGAAAAGATGACATTTCGCTTTTTAAAGCGCAAATTCTGAAACATGGAATTTCTTTAACCGTTTTCCTCTTTGCAGAGGTCAAGATCACAGAACCTTGTTCCGTGTACAGTGTCCCAATTACTTTCTGCTGATCAGGTAGAAGAAGCATTTAAGGTTCAAGGCGTAGAGATTTCACAGGTAAATTGATGTGTTTGAGAAAGAAGGGAGCACAGTGGGTGGGTTACCAAGCTATTAACACGGTGATCTTTAATATGGTGCCCACAGATACATTATCTAGCCCCTGCTTGCTGTTTCTCCAAATCAAAGAGGTAGCCCTCGCTTTCCTGAATTTTACCGAAGCAAGAAATGCATCATAAGAGTTCAGGATCCATCAACTTTGCAGTCTGCAGGGAGCATCCATCTGGGCATAGCTGCCTCCATGATAGGAGGATGCTTGGATCAGAACATCCTGTGACATTTCGTTGAACCTCCCAACAGTTTTGAGCTTGGCGCTTCCCCGTGACAGCCATTTTGTTGTGGTTCTCAACAAGCTTGGGAAACCTCTGAAGTCATAGAGTCATCTATAGCATAGAATCATAGAATTTTTTTTTTTAAAGCTGGAAACGGACTAAAGACCATCCAGTCCAACTGCCTGCACCATGCAGAATGACCTAAACCATCCCTAACAAATAATTGTCCAACCTCCGCTTAAACATCTCCAAGGAGGAGAAACCCACAACATCTGCGGGCAACTGATTCCACCACTGAGCGTTCCTTACTGTTACTGTTTTCTTGATATCCCTCTGATATCTGTCCACCTGTAATTTAAACCCATTATACATCCTGTCCTCCACTACCAACTGAAACAGCTCCCTTCCCTCCTCTAAATCACAGCCCTCCAGATACTTAAAAAGAGTAATCGTATCCAATGCTCCCTCTAAGCTGTGGAGTCTTATGAGCAAAAATACTACTTTGTGAGCTACTGGCATTAAAGTTGTGAGCAAGTGATTTGGCTACTGCATAAATTAGTTTGCTCTGGTGCCATCCTTCCTGAGCAAAGACAGCAATATGTGAGCCGGAGGCTAAACTGTGAGCTAGCTCACACTAATTCCACTTAGAGGGAACACTGATCATATCCGCTCCTCTTTTCTAGGCTGAACATTCCCAGTTCCCGCAGCCTTTCTTCATAAAGCTAGTCTCCAGCCCCTTGATCATCCTTGTTGCTCTCCTCTGCACTTGCTTTAAAGTTCCTATAAAAAGGCCTCCAGAACTGGACACAGTACCAAATGGGGTCTGACTAGTGCAGTAATGCAGTGGTATTATTCCATCTTATGTTCTAGACTCTATGCATTTGTTGAAACACACAAAGATCATGTTTGCCTTCTTTGCTGCTGCATCACTGGCTGCTTACACTTGATTTGCATGAGATGCCTTTTCAGTCCTCATCTGATTCTGACAAGCTGTAACCGATTTGATATACAACAGTTGTATGTTTAGTGGGCTGGAGTTAACACAGTGTTGAGCAAGCTGTCTGTGTACCAATAATATGTTTTGACTTTGTTTCATTATGCAGGTTGTTATCACGGGTATAATCAGGCAAGCAGAGAAAGCACCCACAAACATCCTCTACAAAGTTGATGATATGACCGCAGCCCCAATGGATGTCAGACAGTGGGTCGACACCGATGTAATTACCTTTTTTGTGTGTGTTTTGTTGTTGACAGACACAAAGGACTGGAAGTTAAAGATCTTTTCCAAGTTCTTGGTGTGTATCCAACCATCTGCAGAGTTTGCAGAGTGGGACTTTCTGTTTCCCACTCCTGCTGCAGCTCTCTTAGCCCCCCCACCCCCCATTTCTGAGGTCAGCAGACACTTGGGAACAGCATAGGAGGGCAGTGGGGGGGGAGGTCTGCAGTGAGAGGAAGGAATTAAAAACCACTGCACTCACTTCCAAAGACATAACAGCTGTTAAGCCTTTTGGAATTGTGTGATTGGAATAATGCCCTATCAGTCAGCCTTGGTTTTGTCTTTGCAGTTTTCTGCACCAGGTTTTTGGCTCCATGTTGGCTTAACTGCAGTGAGGGAGCTGTGTTAGTCTTTTGTAGCAAAACAAAGCAGAAGTCCAGTAGCACCTTAAAGACTAGCGGCATTTATTCCATTATGGGCTTTTGAGAGACAGAGCTCACTTCGTCAGATATAACCCCCCCCCCACTTTACCTCAGTTTTACAGAAAACTTACAAGTCTCACCTGGTTTTCTACCTTAGGCTTCTCTCTGCTCAGCTTCTCCTTCTTCTTCGTCCCTTTCTGTAATTTTCTGTGAAACTGAGATAAAGGTAGGGTTGCCAATTCTGGATTGGGAAATACCTGGAGATTTGGGGGGTGGAGCCTGAGGAGGGTGGGGTTTGGGGAGGGGAGGGACTTCAGTGGGGTATAATGCCATAGAGTCTACCCTCCAAAGCAGCCATTTTCTCTAGGGAAACTAGTCTCTGTTGCCTGGAGATCAGTTGGAACAGCGGAGTTGTTCAGCCTCCACCTGGAGGTTGGCAACCCTAGATAAAGGGGTTTTCCTTCTATTGTATCTGAAGAAATGAGCTCTGTACCATGAAAGCTCATGCTGGAATAATGCTGTTATTCTTTAATGTGCCCCTTGACGTCTTAACTGCATAGGGTTTTCCCCTCCTTTACACATAGCATTGGTGATTGCTCTCAGGGTTTTCTTTAAAAAAAGTCTTTCCCATTTTTTTCTGACCACATGTTTTTACATCTGGAAAAAACATGAAAAAAACTGAAAAGAAAAACCGGGAGAGCAGAAACCCAGTGCAGAACAGCCCTCAGTAAAAATAACAGTAACTTACTACTTAGGTTTGATTTGGAATAAGTTGCAACCATCTGTGTTCACTTATTGGGAAGTCCACGTGTTCCTATTTGCTTCGTTTAAAAAACCATCTTTCAGAACACGTGAAGGTTGCTGTTGTTTTTAGGGGCTTACCAGATTAGCTTTATTGGTAAACAAGACTTCTTTTGCAGTGGTGGTGGAAAGTGCCATCAAGTCACAGCCAATTTATGGCAACCCTGTAGTGTTTGCAAGGCAAGAGAAGAACAGAGGTGGTTTGCCATTGCCTGTCTCTGCTTAGAGACCCTGGACTTCCTTGGTAGTCTCCCATCCAAATACTAACCAGGGCCAACCCCGCTTAGCTTCCAAGATCTGACAAGAAAGGTGATTTCTTAGGTGGGGTTTCACTGAATGTGTATATTGGCTATTTACCTGCTCTTGATTTTGAACCAGGCGGGAGCAGTTCTAAAAGGACTGTGTGGACTTTTCAGCTGCACAGTGCAACCATGTAATTTAGTGTTAGGAACAATTCAGTGGGTTTTTTAAAAAAAATTAGTCCTAGCTGTAAAGATTGGCTTAAAACCAGGGTGTCAAACATATGGCCCATGGGCCATAATTGGCCTATTCAGGGCTGTTTTCTGGCCCATGAGCAACTGATTACCTTTATTGCCAGATGAGGGAGGCTGTGCATTATGTCCCTGTACTATGTCCCAGTGCTAATACGTAACAGCTGGTGGAAGTGGGAGGGTAGGCATACTGTAAGGAAATACTGTAAGAATGTAAACTATTTTAAGCATGTTTCGTTTTTGAGTAAAAAATAATATTGTTGATTAGGTTTGCCTGGGTCCTTTATCTATATATCTAATAGCCAAGTCGCCCCCCTGGTGTGCGGATATCTAAATCCGCGCACCGGGGGCACCTGGGGGGGAGGGAGAGTTTTTTGCACACGTGGGGCGGTCCACAGGTGTGCACAAAAATCTGAAACCCTGTAAAAAATATCGGGGGGATGTTTAAATCCCCCCGAAACTGACAGAGCGCCCCCTGCGCATGTGCAGGGAACGCTCTGCAGCCGGCCTCCCGCTGCCGCTGCCACGGAGGGGGGGCAAGAGAGCAGCGAGGGGCGAGCGGCAAGCCGCTCGGCCCTCGCTTTGGAGGTGGGGGGTAGGAAGAGCAG